ATATTGTGTAACAGGAAGAAAAGGTCTAAAAGAGCAGGGGAATTGGGAGGGGTAGGAGAAGGGAAAAAAGGGAAAGGAAAAAATATGAGAAGAGGAAAAAAATGGAAACAAGGTCTTTGCAAGTAGGGAAGGGTGGAGGGGGTGCAGGGAGGGCAAAGGAAGGGGAAAAAAAATAAGAACCAAGAGACTCATGTAATGGTACAAGATCCCAATGATGAATTCAGCTGTCTTTTATACCTAAAATGTACCAATAAAGTTAATGGGGGGAAAAATTAAAAAAAAAAGAAATGACTATTTTGTGCCTTAGAATTTCATGAAATTATTGGCAAATCTGAGATCATTTCAAATATCATACCATTTACTTATTTTATTTAACTGATTATTGTTTCATTAGTTTCTTTACTTGAATGACTGAATTTAATAGTTTATTTTCCAATGTTCTCACTTTTAACTTGTTGGATACAATCAGATACAGGTATATGTACATATGTTTATTTGTTTATTTTTAATTTATTTTATTTTCTGGTACCAGGGACCAAACTCAGGACCTTGTGCTTGCAAGGCAGGCAGCTGAACAACTGAGCTAAATCCCCAGCCCCATATGCTTATGATTAAATCATGAATCCTTGATGTACTTTAATACAAATATTTTTACTACCTCTTCCTATTGGCAATAACTTAGAACACTCAATTCTGTTTTTCCTCTCTTTGTATTACTCTTTTCATACATTTTATTATACATATATTTTGATCTTTATGAGGAATTTCTATTATTGTTTCATAAACTAATACAGTATTCATTTATTTTTTCTATACATTATCCATTACATTACTCTTCATTCCTCACAGTTTTCATCTGGAATTATTTTCTTTAAAAATTTCCCTCTAGCCAGGGATTTAGCTCAGTGGTTCTGCCGCCTGCCCTGCAAGCACAAGGACTTGAGTTCGATCCCCAGTACAAAAAAAAAGTTTCCCTCTAGCATTTCCCCTCTGACTGTTTAAATCTCGTTGTCTTTGTCTCTCAGCCTGTCTTTCTTAGTGCTGGGAATTAGATTTAGGGCTTTCTGCTGCTGGGGATTTAGCTCAGTGGTTCTGGCCCCTGCCTTGCAAGCCCAGTTTGATCCCCAGTACCAAAACAATTTAGGACTTTCTACATGCTGGGCAACTTGAGTTACACCTCTAACCCTATAAAAAAATTTTAAATTTAAGGTTACAAATAACAAAATGTCTCAGGCTAGTTTTTTTTGTTTGTTATCTGTATTTTGGGCAGTTTTCCTGATGGATGTAGAGTTCTAGTGTGGCAAGAGCTTTTAGCACTTTAAAAATGGTGCTCCATGGATTGACCAACTATCAGTCCTTTTTTTGCTTATTTGGTCTAAATAGCATCTAAAATCTTTCCTTACCTTTGGTTTTTAGACCATGATATCATTTGTTTCCTTTGTGTAGTTTTCTTAGAGGAGGTGAACTCTATTGAATCTGGGGGATGAGGTCATCTGTCCATTTAGAACATGATAATATACTTTCATTTCTGTTACCCATTCTTTCCCTGAATTCTCTACTCCCCTTTTAATCCCAGCTCACAGAATTCTGAGTCATTCTGTCCTGAACTTTCCAATGTTGTTCCACAAGTACTTTGGAATATTTGTTTTTGTACTGCCTTTCAATATGGTAACCCCGCCTCGGGTGTGGAACAGCCACTTTGTAGTTTCTTATGTCCTTAATTTCAATTCTAAACACAAACCCATAAATAGCTTTCACGGATGATAGAACAACAGCTTTACAAGAATATTTTTGGACATAGTAAAATTCAAAATATAAACAATTCAATTGTAATTTGGGTCATAGTAAGAGGTACTATTTATGAAAATTGTTCAAGAATTTGGCAGGAAAACTGCCAGGAGAAGAGATTTAGCTTATGTAAAACCAGTGAAGGACATTGGCCAGAATATGTAAAGAATTATCACAAACAAACAAACAGAATGAAAACTAACCAGAAAAACTGGTGGCAAACTTGAACAATGATTACACAAAAGAAAATAAACAAATGAACAGTAAAATAGATGATAAAAAACCAAATGGACAATAATTCCCAGTGAGATGTTATGATACATACATCAGTGTAGATAAAATGAAAAACACAGTAATAACAACTGGTGAAGACGTTTGAACAATCAGGTTGTTCATATAATGATAGTGAGTGCTCAAACTGGGATAATGCCCAAAAAAACCATTTGATAGTATGTCAAAGCTGAGAATGTGTCTACATGTTCTCTTGCACATAAACACCCCTAACATTGTGCACATGTTCTAGTTTGACCACAGCACCTGGAGTCATAATAAATAAACTAAATGAACTTATTGAATAATAAACTATATGCTCGCCAGCAGGGAAATGGACAAATACTACAGTACTTGTAACAGACAGAACTCCATATATTAAAAAGAATTTACAAACAACTAAACAATATTGTATTAGGAGAAATCTCAAAAACCTAATATCTATCCACATGCATGACAATGCATAACCTGTGGTTCCATGCACATAACACACACACACCAAAAAATAGCAAAGGTGTGCCAGGTGTGTGCTGGCCTATACCTGTTGTCCCTGACACTCAGGAGCCAGAGATACGAGGATATAAAGGGCAATTATGAGAACATAGAGAAATACTAAAAAAGAGAGAGAAAAGCCTAATCTGTGATACAGATAAAGACAAGTTACGCTTCTGACAGCCAAGGTGAAGCTAATAATCTCCTCTCTGATTTTGGTACTAGGCACAGGAGTGTGTGAAAATTGGCGTTTTATGGTTTGGTTTTTGTACTTCTATGTACATTATAGTCCAGTAATAACTGGGTGAAAAGACAAGTAGAATTGCAAGGTCTGACATACCTCATTCAGTGATCATTACTGTTAAAGAAGAATAGAACTATCTCTGGGATGGGACGTTATATTTGTTAAAACACATTATTCTGTGAATTCAAGTGAGGAGTGAAAAATAGTTCAGATTGCCACACACAAAACATCTGTAGTTAACTTTAGAAGTGGGAAGAGCTAGAGCAAAAATGAATTTTACATTTAGTTATATGTCTTTTTCTTTCTGGATTATTTTATGGAATGCAATTGGATGTGGATGAAATTCTAGGATGCAGTGTCAGAAAAGTTATGTGCACTGCAGTAAAAAATATCTATATCTCAAGTGATTTAATTCTTTAAATAGCTTGGAAACATTTTTAAAGGTGTTATCTAATATTGTATAAGAGGTCATGTACTTAGAACTGGGCATAAGTCATGAGCCTAAAAGAACCAAACTGATAGTTTTATCACAATAACTGAGTTCTGGCTGGTTGTAAAATGCCCTGTAGCAAGTAAATTGATTAGGCTGAAAAGAAAAAAAAATTGGTCAAGTTGTAACTAAATGACTAAGTGACCAATTTTTAGTCAGTAAATTTGTTTTTCATTTTTTATTTTTTGTATAAGTAATGTTAGACCACATTGTTGGTTGGGGTTCTCAGAACATGCTAAAGTTCTGAAATCCAATTCTAGAATCTTTTTTTTCCTGCTTTGTTCAAGTAAACCCTACTAGATTAGGTCACTTTAAGAAATTTTCCTTTTAACAAGGCCTATAAAACTTCAATCTGAAGATGTCTTTATACTTTCTGAGTGTTATTTTATATATTTTCACATTTAGTGTAAATGAAGCAATCTGTATGATGTACAGCTACCCCCCTATGGATGCAACATCCATGGATTCAACCAATCTCAGAAAACATTTAGAAATAAATTATACCTATACTGGACATGCATAATTGTTTTTTTCTCTCTCTCTCTTATTTTTGGTACCGGGGATCGAACTCAGGACCTTACACTTGTAAGGCAGGTGGAGGAACCATTGAGCTAAATCCCCAGCCCCCTTTTCTCTTTACTCCCTAAACAATACAGTGTAACAACTATTTATTTATCACTTGCATTGTATTAGGCACTGTAAGTCATCTAGAGATGGTTGAAAGTACTATACAAGAGGATTTGCATTGGTTCTATGCCGATGAGACATCATTTTATATAAAGGATTTGAGCATCCACAGATTTTTGGTATCTGTGGAGTCTTGGTGGCAATTCTTCATGACTGACAAAACTGTATTCCATACAACTTTACTTCTGCGAACGCTTAATATTATAAATGACATTGCTCTGTGGATCATGGAACCATTTGGTTAAATAAGTTGTCTCCTCTTCTACACACTTTTCTAATACATATTTAAAGGCTTCTCTACCTGTAGCCAATGCTCATCATCCCCCACTATGCCAATGAATTTCATATAAATACATATCACAGAAACGATGGTTATTCCTTTTTCAGGATCACATCTTCCAACTAATGCTTTATACCTAGAGAAATGTGAGTATTTTTCTTACTTACATGAGTCAGTCATTTATATTGTTCACAGAAAAGTATTAGGAAGTAGTCCCTCAGGAATTAATCCCAAGATCTAGGGGGTGCAGAGGCTGTGCCTGCAACTGAGAAGGATGGGGAAGAAGATGGAGGACTTCTTACTGGTTTCTGGTAGCTCAAGGTGAGGCATAATGAGCTTGCTCAGTCAGAGGCTTTTCAATAACATTCTCAGATATGAAGGGTTGAAATAAAGTTCCTACATCTTCCCGTGATTTGTACCATTTGCAATGTGAGAACAGTGAGTGGCCAGTAGTAATGTCACCAGAAATGGAGCTCTGCAGGAGTTCACCTAACCAGTCCTACTTTCTGTTTCTTCTCTCTGATGGAGAATCCCTACTGTGTTCATCTCCACTGGTCCATAGGTACTGCCTGAGCTTTCAGCTTGCCATCCCAAACAACCCTTCCTTATAAGAACTTCCCTGGTCGGGGATTTAGCTTAGTGGTTCCTCCACCTGCCTCAAAAGCACACAAGGTCCTGAGTTTAATCCCCGGTACAAAACAAAAAAGAACTTCCCCAAAGCCGAGGATACATATATCCCTTCATACTTACACACAACAGGTTTAGGTGTGTTCTGTAGACAAGTGACTAGTGGAACCTTGGGAAACTCATTTTATCACCTGGTATCATCTAAATTTAATTGAGTGAGGAAATGGACTTCAGTTGTTCTCTGTTTGGCTTCTTTAATTGCTCACCACCTGATGGGAATCACCTGGAGAGTTTTAAAACTACCTGTAGTTGTGTCCATCCCTAGAAATTCTAATTCCACTGGTTTCAGACACAGCCTGAATCACTGACCCAGATCTGGAAGCTCTTCCCAAAGAAAATAATAATAATGTCTGAGAGACAAATTTTGGGAAGAAGGAAAGCCTGTATTTGGTGTCCAAAGAATGAGGAAGTAGAAGCCTACACTCTAGTATCGACTTTTCTACTCTAGGAGGCTGAGAAGTTACAGATAGAGGAAAGGAATAATGAGGGAGTGAGACAAGCTAGTAAAGGGGCAAAACACCCCTGTCTTTTCTGGTAATAAGTGGATATCTTCCAGGAACTTGGGTTTTACTCCTTTTATGCTTTGTGTTCTGGTATTTCCAGCCATGGCAACTGGTAGGTGTTCTTTATCTTTTTTTCTTTTTGTACTGGGGATTGAACTTAGGACCTTGAGCTTGCAAGGCAGGCAGTGGCACCACTGAGCCAACCCCCCAGCCCAAGTGTTCTTTATCTTAAAAGAGGAACAGAGGCTACAGAAGTCTAGGTCAAGCTAACTCTGTATTATAATTCTAGAAAAATAACTTCTCAAATGATGAACACATCTTCATGCAGAGCTGAGTAGAATTTGACTTAAATGTTAAGGCAGCAAAAAGCTAGCACAATATAAAGACAAAAATATTAAGCTTTTCCATCTCATTCTAGTCACCCATTAGACCTCTGTAGGCAAAATGAAGAATCAATCTCTTTAGCAAAATGGTTGTTCAAGTCCCTGAGAAATAACCTAGGCAACAATTATCATCTTAGCTTTTACATCAGAGGTGTTCACTACAACAAAGCTAGTGGGAGACTTATAATGTATTGCCCAGCTATATGATCTCCAAAATTAGTGGTTTTCAAACCAATGATGATCAAGTGAAACAAGACATTTTATTTAGGTTTTTCCCCAGAACACCTGGGCCACAGGAATTCTTATACTCCTCTCCTCCCAGAATCTAAAGGACAACTACAGATGATGAATCTCTCTTCTACTTCCTAGAGTCTGTAGTCTTGGAACTTGCCTTATATTAAACAGACCTGGGGAGCTTTATCAACAATGGGAACCTGGTCATATTCTAGACAAAATATATCAGAATGGCTGTGGGAGGAGCTAGAACATTAGAATTTCTTTTGAAAGAATGCCAGGTTTTTCCAATGTAAGTCATGAATAGTAAATTTTCTACCATTTCAAGGTTTCTTGGGCTTTACATAATAGAAGTAGAATCAGATGTTAAAATTTAAAAGGGTGCTGGTGTCTGATCCCAGGTAAGATCAACCATATGTGCCTCTTGGATCAGGAGAATGTGTCAGCACTTTGAAATTTCCTGAGGTGATTTAATATGCATGTGACACTCCCAGCTGCAGTATGCAGGGTCCAAAAAAGGTGACTTCCTTACAATTAGTAAGGAAATGGCTAATTAAAACTGGGTGCAGTGGCACAAGTCTGTAATTCCAGCTACTCCAGAGGTGGAAGCAGGAGGATTGAAAATTCTAGGCTGCAAGACAGCAAAAGGAATAGACTAAGTCACGAAATTTTGAATAGTGATTATCACTCCATGGAGCGTTGAGAGTAAAATTATTGAAAAAACATTCCCTTCTCCAGTGTATATTATTGCTGTCTACTCTAAGTTAGCTGTAAGTATGTGGATTTATTTCTGGATTCTCTATGTTGTTCCATTGGTCTGAGTTTGTTATGGCAGTACTGTGTTGTTTGGGTTACTATAGCTCTATAATATATTTTAAATTCAGACATATAATTCAAATATAGATGCCTGCAGGTGTTTTGTTTTTCTTCTTCTCAGTACTGCTTTGGCTATTTAGTGTCTTTCACATCTAGTGTAGGACTCCTTTAAGAAATCCTGGTAGGGCCAGTTTGTTGGTGATGGATTCTTTCCATCTTGTTGTCTTGGATAAACTTTATTTCTCCTTCATTTCTGAAAGATGACTTGACTGAACATAGCATTCTTGACTGATAGGTTTTTTCATTCAGTACTTTGAATATATTATCCTACTTTCTCCTTGTCTTCAAAGTTTCTTCTAAGAACTCTGCTGTTATTTGTGTGAGGATTTTCTTGCATGTCGCTGGATGCTTTTCTCATTCTGATTTTAGAATTCTCTTTTTGTCTTCTACTTTTTACAGTGTGACTAATATGTGCTGGAGAGGACTTTTTTGGTTGAAACTTCTTGAGGTCCTTAGAGCCTCCTGAAGCTAGGTGTCTATATTTTTACTAAGATTTGTAGAGTTAACAGCTATTACTTTTATGGACAGTTTTAAAAAAATAATTATTAATGCATATTAATTACACAAATTAATGGGTTTCACTGTGATCATTCTATACATGCATATACCGTGCTTTGAATATGATGATGTCTGGTTTCATTTTCCAGCAAATGACATGATTTCTGTCTTGGTGACATCTGAATAACACTCCCTGGTGTTATATATCATTTTTATGCCATCCATTCTCCTACTGACAGGCTCCTAGGCTGTTTCCTTAGTGTGGCATTCTAAAGCTTGAGGCTTTCTTGACACAATTCACAGTAGCTAAAATAAGAAAAGCATGAAAACCAAAGAGACCATTGATGGAGGGATGAATAAATAAAATGTGGGATGAGTGGGAATATTTTTCCACATTTATAAAGAAGGAAATTCTGACAAGTGGAGCAACATAGATACAATTGAAGAAACCAAGCTAGGTGATATAAGCCAGTTAACAAAAGGACAAATAGCACTTGAGTCCTTTTCTGTGAGGAGCTTAAAGTCCTCAGATTCATGGGTACAGAAAATAAAGTGGTGGGCGTTATGGGCTGGGGAGGAGAGGGAGAGTTAATGTCCTGATGAATGTGATGCAAATATCTCTGAGACCCTATTTAAAAAAATCTCTTAATTAACAATAATCATACTGTGTGTGGGGTGCAACCTATAACCCAATACATGTATATAATGTGTCATAGTCAAATCTGGGCAGTTAGCATTTCTATCTTTGAGACTCTACTTTTAATTTATGGGATATAGACCCAAAAGTAGAATTTTACTTAAAAAGTTTCAGGAACTGCTATACTGTTTCATATAGTGGCTGTACCATTTACCATTCCCATCAGCAACAGGTGACTTTTCCTAATTCTCCACATCCTCTGCAACATTTATTTCATGTTTCCTACTTTCCTTTCTCCCTTCTGTAGGGGACTGCAGTATTGATTATGCCCAAAGCAGGCTGTAAGCAGTGCAGGCTTAAAGAGTTAACCCCTCAGTTGGCTTGTCTTTTTTTGGTAGTGGGAATCAAACTCGGGTCCTTGAGCTTGCACAGCAGGCAGCTAAACCACTGAGCTAAATCCCCAGCCCGTCAGTTGGCTTGTTTTGAGAAGCAAGTCCAAGCAAGCCAAAGCCAATGTGGAGAGGTCAGAGTAATTTGCACCCAAATTCCATTCCCATAGTTAAAACCTTCTTAAGTACAAGGACAAGGTTCTAATTACAATCCTACATTTTGTCTATTCTGTTTCTAATGGAAGAATACTCTGTCTTGTCCTTATGCAAGCCTTGCTTGCATAGTATCCATGGTAACTGCATGACTGCACATCCTCACATGTAGTTCCTTTTTAGAACATAGTTTACCTTTACCCCATTTGGTTACCAATAAAAATCAGGGCTTGGACTGACCAGTGCGCATGAGCAGTATTGGTAGTCCGGGCTCCCTGGTTTCTCTGTCTCTTTAGTTCTGTCTTTTGGGGTTTTTTCTCAGCCTTGTAGCACTGAGCAGGAGATCAGAACCTACAGCAGAGGTCTCTGATAATTGGTGCTCATCATGGTGGCTTGAACCATGAGGGATCGTCTGCTCAGTGAACCCCACCTAGAGTGGACACAGTGTTTTGATGATGTAGGATCCTCATGTAATGAGTAATAAGGACTCCAACAGGAAGCAAAGCCTGGAGAAAAGGTAAGTTCTTCCAATGAGTACGTAGTCAGCTGGGACTAAAACATGGGATAATCACTTTTGCCTGAAGAGCAACATTACATCTAGCTGCTCCACACCTTTTTCACTTTTTTAATTTTTATTTTTGGTACTGGGGATCCAACTTGAGACCTTGTGATTGCATGGCAGTTGCCGGAACCACTGAGCTAAATCCCTGGCCTGCCACACCTTTTTTAAACAAGCAAGCAACATGATGTTGCCCTGCATTGAAAGAAATGTTGCAAGAGACCGTTAAATATCATTGTTGGTTTTCTTTTTCTTTTTTAAAAATTAATTTTATTGGTACATTTTAGGTATACAATATAATGACCTTCATCATTGGAAATTTGCACTTTTACTTAATCTCTCTTGGTTCTTATTTTTTCCCCATTCCCCTGCCCTCCCTTCAACTCCTCCATCCCTCCCTTCATTGGTGTTTTTCACAAATGGGAACTTTAGATATAGAACTTTGGGAGGGTGTCAGAAATAACATCCAGACAGCTCAACAAAGAAGAAAAGTTATCTCCCTTGAGACCTTAACTGAGACTTTGACAACTTGGAGCCTTATGCCCTCTGTTTTTTGGCCCATACAACGGAGCCTGGGAGCCTCTCAAGCTTCCGCTCTGCAGCAATTAGCTGCTGGTGAAAACTGTTTAGATTTGGTTTTAGAACAACTGCTTGCCACATCTGTTGTCTCTCACATGGTGGACTAGCCTCTCTCAGAAAATGTGTCATTGTTACAGGCAAACCCCAATGGTCCCCTTTCGGAGGAGGTTGAGCTGCCTCCCCCTCCACTTGCATTGCTAAGACCACAGGGTGTCTGCAGAGGAGGTGGGGGCAAAAGCATGAGGAGAACTGCTTGGCTTAGTGCACCGGAATGTGTAGGCAGGATGCCATGGTCAAACTCAGAAAAAAATCAAACAAAACTCATAGCAGATTGGAAAG